TTGGGTGACTTGCCGCTGTTTGTTTGATGCATGCTGACATTAGCTCTTAAGTTTATCGACACTTAAGAAAAAACATTTTAATTTACAGTGAGACGGAGGTTTTTCTCTTCTATTCCGACACAATTTATCTAAGGCCTGCATGAAAGTGAACAAAATCAGAGTTCTGAATGCAGCTGCCACGAACGGCTTGTTGAAACTCGTCAGCGACTAGAAATGAAAACTGATGATATGGTCACGAGTTTTTCAAAATGTTTCCCTCGCACAGGTCAAACCTATTAAACCTCTCTATCAGTCAATCAGGCACTTCCCTTACAGAGATTTCAGATTCATTTCGGACTCAGATTACAAAGAAACTGTGAGTAATCGAACAATAAACTTTGAGCCATCACCCAATTAAATCTTCACAAGCCCATGTCTCTGACCAACATGGCGAGCTCGCAGTAATTAGCAGTTGACCTAAAATAATTTTTTAACTCGCTTTAGTACACACAAGCGAAAAACTGCAGAAGGTTCTATCTATGTGTTATACAGGCTCTTTAAAATTTTGCAAAACTAAAATTCAATCCAAGCAAATACAAGCTTGGTCAACTCATTCACATGCTAATATTTCTCTCCTTCCTGGGTGATCCTTGTCGAAGGATCTTAGAGTGCTCTGTGGGGCTGGCCATCCTGCGCATGTGTATCACAATCACAGCGGTAACTGCGACAAGCAAAGCAACGGCGACGAAACCGGTGACAGCCAGTACGATTGTCATGTAATCAGTGGAATCATCTTTGGTGGTCGTATCAGCAGAAGCATCTACAAGAGAGACAGGTTTTTAAGTAGATATCCGCTCATGAGAAAAAGTTTTTTTGTTAACAGTTATTCAGAAAGATTCTAAATTAGAAGGATATGATGCTGACTGTTCTTCAGTTTGTTCTCATTTATAACACGTAGCTGAACGTTTGTGAGCGACTAGAACTACTACGACGAAGGAAACGTCTCCGCGCATCCTAGCGCGCTTCCTCTTGACAGTCAAAGGTAGAGGAACGACTGGGGACGAGTGGATGATGGGGGGAATTAGGGGCAAAGGTCGAGGAGTGAAGGACGAAGAGCGATGAGGGAGGGACGTAATGTAAGGGGAAAATATGGGGGTGAGGGGTTAGTGGAAGAGGAATTAGGAAGGGAATTAGAGGTGAAAGGTAAGAGTTCAAACTGGAGAAGAGAGAAGTTTGTATGAGGGAAGTTGTGAAGGGGTCAAGGATGGAGAAATTTTGGATGCTCACTGATCTCAGAAAAAAGATATGTACCCCGTTATTCAAAAGTAAATATTTCTAATATTAATGAAGAAAAACTGAAAACCTTTGCCTTCCTCTTCAATCTGCCATGGGCCAATCCTGAGATGATGAGGCAAAGATCCTTTATCGTAATTTTCATCTTCAATTGATCTTCTCTTTCTCCCCGATTTGTCATCGCATGCTGCGCATTTATCGAAGCAACTTGAATTCTGGACTCCAGCCAAGCAGACAACTACGTCACAATGCACGAAAACGACGTCACTAACTTTGAAACGAAACACTGCGAATTCAAACTTTTGGAGCGAAGATTTTTGGCAGGAATGTGCTGTACGATTGTCGGAGTCAGTATCTGGACATCTGTATCAAGGTATAAAAAAAAACTGTGAATAAAATATCCACAACAAAGAGCCTTTGAGAGACGCTGCCTCTTTTGGTTTTTAAAAGTCCTTATCTGAATACTCTCCACCAAATGGTATAAAATGTTGATTTTAAACCTATTTCCAATTTTCTCTTGAGATTCCTAGTAGCAGTGACCCGGATAATATTTCTCAGTAAAAAGAGTGCAAATCACAGTTTTATCCCTTCTTTTCCACCCCAGGCCTTCGGGTATTTATGTAGCATTAGGGCTGCCCCCACATCACCCTATAATCTTCCGAACGCTCTTCCTCCCATTTACAGCTATCTATGCTTCTTGTTGTGCTAAAATGACAAGTCATTACTTATCTCACGGGGGGAGGTGTGGAGGAGTTTGGCGGGATCGCTTACACAATATATAGGGAGTAGGGACATAGTAAATTGACTTTCAATCAACTGCCAATGTGGGGGTGGGGGAGGGGGAATATTACAGAGCCTTATGATGAGATTAGATACATTGTAATCATGACACACTGGTCTTTAATATTCTTACCCGTCTAGGACAAATTGACGCTGATTCACATCCGCTGGAACTGACGAGGCTGTCGCCCAACATCTCTCCAACAGAAGCTGCAGATCTTTGTCAGCTGAAAGAACCTCCACCTCTATGTACAACATGCTTCCAATCGCCAACGGCCCGGTGTTCGATACGAGTTTTTCAGAATGATCAATGTCACGGAATGCCCTCATTTTAAAATCCAAGCTTCCGTACTCTGGAATCAAATAAATCAGAATGACCGATTTCCAAACTATTTTGTGTTTTCCAAAATAGCATTTTCTGTTAAAAACGGAACTTTAAAGGATATTTTCCATATCGATTCCGCAAGATATCGTGCTTTTTCCCCTTCAAGTGCTAACTTTTTTAAAACTGACAGAACTATGCATTTCTATCGTGACATTTCGCACGCCAGAGATGCAGAACATACAAATTGGGCTGTGAACTTTCGTTAACACTGTAGATTCAGGAACTGAACGCAAGTCTAAAGAAGGTGTTGATTTCTTTCGTTTGCGTTGCCTTTGTACGTTTCATTAGTGAAGCGAACAAGTGCGAAAAAATGAAATTACACATTTATGCATTTGTTTTGCTATTATCCAAGCCTTACCCTTTGTGCCCTGAAAAGCTCAAAGGAAAAAAAAAAACAAACAAACGAAAAGAATATCTTACGTGACGTTCGTGTCGCGAACGAAAATAACAATTTTTAACATACAAGTCAATAGGCCATTTTGAATTGTCTGAAACCATCTATGACCAACAAAGCTTAAAAGTAAAACTAATACCTTTGCTTGTAGTTGGTAGTTTGAAATTATTAATTGTCTCGATGTCGGCTTTTAGAGTTGCGTTCCTCTCATAGATACAGGTAGCGTCAAATGATATGTCGTGGGTGAAAGTGATCTTGACTCCTTGCGCGTTTCTTCCCGCTTCACCGTGCACCGTGTTCTGGTAATGCAGATAATTGCCGCGTTGTGATACCCTCATTCCGCATGCGCCAGTTTTTAAATGAAGAGAGACGTCCTCGTCAGGATTGATAGCATGCGTGCACTCATCAGTCCGCTGGTTTATGTACAGCTCGTGTAAATCTGACCCCAGAGTATGTTTAGAAATGGTGACGTTCATCCAAAACGCGTCACAGGAAACGTTAAAAGCTAAAAAGGAATAAATGAAATATTAGATGAAAATATGAAAAAAGCATTTTCGTCAGATCGTAATAAAGCCCTACAGAAAGGACAGCGACAGGTATTAAAAAGTGTGACGATTATTATAAATAACGACAGAACACATACTGTTTAAAAATTGAAACAGAAAGGGCACATTTTATCATCATATTAGGAGGAATGAGAACATAAAATAATCTTTTCCCTTCCGCATTTAATGTCACCTGGAGTTCCATAAACTGCAACTCTGAGACACATCGATGATCCATTTACTTGTGTTGGCTGGAATCGCACGCCGGATACTGCTCTTGTTTCCACCAACTGATTTTGAATAGTATCATTCGCGTCGGCGGAATTAGTAACGAATTCCTATCGCAAGGAAGTAAACCAAATAAACGTTAACCACTGACCGTGAATAACTTGTAAAATGTGAAAATATAAGACAGCGCAAGAGGTATAAGTCAGAGCGATTTTCTTTTTACCCGTACTTATCTTAAAGAAGCATCAAACTATTGGACTACTGACAGACCCACCCAAGAAGTTGAGCTCAGAGTAATTGCTTTCATAGGGGTGGGGGATCTCCCTAAAAGAGCGGAAAAAAACTGAGATTTTTGATAGAGTGTAGATAAATATGTTGTAATAAACCTTATTTTAGCTTGTATGTTCTGTTTTCCCAATTGATGACTCAAGGGAATTCCACCTTTTTTATCTTTTTGCAAATTATGGGTTCATATGCACGTGAATAGAACAAAATTTTAAATAAAGAGTTCTCCAAATATTATCACATGACCCGCATTGAGAAAAAAAAAAACGACCCACTAAAAAGGTCAAGAGGCGCTTGTGATGGAGAGAAAATGACCATTGTTAATGATTGACATAATTACATGACAAGGTACTCTCTACCCAGACCTTCCACAGCGAAGCGGTTGTACATTTCAGTTACAGTTACATGGTAGGATCTGGGTACGAGATTAATGACAAGGGTATGCGTGGAGTATATTAACCTGTGTGGGAACCGACCAAACGTTTTCTTTGCTGGAGAACGCCAGTTTATATTTGCTAGGATAAGAGTTGACAGTGCCATCGGCATAGCCTTGTATTTTAACACCGCATACGTCATAGAGGTGGCCGAGGTTCACATTAAGGTACCGGTTAGGAGGAATCTCGTCTGTGCACCAGGCCCCGTCGTTATCTATGACGGCGTCACTCGGCGGGTAATTCGTTTTAGTTGACGAGGCTGTGTAGGTGACGTTAGTGATCATATTTTCAAAGCAGTCCGCTATAATGAGAAATGAAAAAAAAGATTTTCAGGAAAGACGGAACACATTTTGATTGCGTCTTAAAACTAAACATAAAAAAAAAACTACAACGACGAATCTGAAAGGATAACGTTATTGAGAGCCAATGAGAACCGTTATAGCAAAAAAAACAAAACAAACAAACATGTGTTCTGTGTTTTCTTTAAGATCGAAAGTAATTTTTTATGAAATGCAAAAATTAGAATTTGATGAAGTCAGCCATTTAAGGAAACGATTTTCAAATTGAATACTTCATCCTTTTACCTTTTACAAGAATTTCCTTTTGTGAAAGAATCACTATCATCATTGTCCATAACAGTGTTGCCATGACTGTGGTGGTAAGACATGTGCTTTCAGGCACAGGAGGTTCCTTGATCTATTGGCTTATCACCCGGTCTGTAATTTGAAGGAAAACGGTTTAGTTGCAACGATGAGAAAGGTGAAAACAAAAATCCAAACAAAGTATTCTGTGTTCTTGGTAAAGTCAAGAGAATATCAACAGGTAAAGTTTCTGCAGAGAATCTTTTGCTCTTGATTTGTTATCACTCTTAGAGCATTTTTCATACGAGTGTCGAAAAACAAAAATCTAACGTCATCACAACTAACCAATCGGAACTAAGGACAACAAAATCATCAGCCAATGAGAACTCAGTAAAAGAAACAACTTGCTCAAAGGGCGGGAAAACGCGGGTGACCAAGTTTTAGTTTTGTAGTTGACTGGTTGAGATGGTGGTGCCAGTTTTCTTAACCAATTAAAGAGCGAGTTAAAGCAAAATCAAAACAACCCAGGATCACTTTAAACTCTCAATTGAAAACTGCTCTGTCTAAAAAAACTGTTCTAACAAACATTCAGGGATACTTCTTATCATGTTCTATTTTCAATTATGTGACATTATGATCTTCGAAGTTAAATACTCCAATTTGAATCAAGCAAACAAAAATTTTGGCTGATGTTTGTGAGACTCAAGTTCAATTCTATACTCAATTTCCTCAGGTCATTCACTTTTCATATTTCCCAAAATCCAAGCAACCAATCTTTTTTGTTGGAAAAGGGTGAGAGGAATATTTAAGGATTAAACGGGCCAAGTACTGCAAAGCAAAGGCTTAAGTTGGAAGGTTGCATTTTCGAATCATCAACTCTGTTTTGGAGACTTTTGAGGTGACAGTTGGGACATTAGTTTGCCATCTTTTGGGCCGAAAGCAATTCATGACTAATTTAATTTCAGAATTCTAAATAAGTGTAATTTTATTATGAAAAATCTACATTTTTTTTAAATGCAATTTAAGAACTTTGTTTTAAGTAGTCGTTTCTGAATGTCTCTTTGCTTAAAAATTGGCAAGTTTTATAACCACAGCTGGCAATTTTTATTTCGTTTTCATTTTCTGACTAACTTCGTCGTTAACTTTGGGTTATTAAAGCAGTTTTGTTTTGAATATTTTCACAGCAGGACACCGGTTCGACCTTGCTGATTCGGAAACTAAAAAACGAGAGACAAAACACATTTCCTAACAAATATGTTTGCCGACTTCATGAGTGTTCCAAAGTTGGGGTAAAATATTCCTATCCAATTCCATTTGTAACGGAAAGGTTTTTCTGCGAACTGTGTATAATTTAATCATAATTATCTGACGATAGGATTTTGAAAAATGTAACAATCTTTAGACATGTCTGCCAGCCTTAGCTCCAGTGTCTCATTTTCGGTGCCGATCAGAAAGTCTACGTAGCGAGTTAACATTATAAAAAACCGCTGATCTCGTTCGTTCACACAAATTCATTTGAAAACTGGGATGTACGCGAAGATGATCATTTCGTGATGAAGTTTTGTCATAACTTCGACTTCGAACGGGTGTCTGAAAACGGACGCATGCGGTGTATTCCAAATTTAAATGTTTTTGTAATTATGTTAACGATTAGAAATTGATTAGCTTTTACTTCTTCTACGAATACCAGATTCATATAAGTTAGATGTTTAAAGATGATCACCGCACTCAACACTATCTGTCCATCTCAATTCCTTAACTCTCGGAATAAATTAGAGAAAATTTTAAGTGGTTTGTGGTGATAATTGCAGCAATGATGTGTTGAAACCAACTTCTGTCAAATTTGTTCAACTTGGTTCTCAAAAGTATGGTACTAATTCAAACGATAAGTTCAATATTTCACGAAACGTCGATTACAGAAGTCAAAATACAACATTTTACTCAGTCGGGTACGAAGTCAGTGCCTTGTTACTCACCATTTGTCGCTTTAATGACTCGGAAAGATCAGTCTAGAAAACTTTCAATGGGTTTTATCTGGTCTAAAAACGTGATCTTAATCAAAACCTCTACGGTTCGTGTCGTCTCTTTATTAAAGAAGAATGTTCATATTAAGGGAACATTTGATTCATAGAAATATGTTTAGTCAATAATTAGAGACATCATGATTAAGTTGAAATAGGAAACAAATCACTGAACTGAAAACCAACTTGATCGAAAGCCAGAGCACAATTGTAGAGTCTTAGATGCTTATGGCTTTTCAATGTTTCCTAATATAAACTACTCAGACATCAGCTGGGTTCATTTCTGAATTCAAAGTAGAGTTTGAAGCTTATGGTATCAATTTGTATGCGTCGAAACAATTCAATTTCCTCACTGAGGTGGATATTAATGATCGCACCGGGTATGCGAATATTTATCCCAAGAAAAGAGAATCTTTCATTTGTTTCAAATGGCCTCCCTCTTACCTTTCGTTAACAGTGCCAGTTTGTTCAGTTATCAAATGTATCGTGTAACCTTTTTCAACCAATTTGGTTCTCACATTGCCATATATTCCAATGTTGCAGTTGCTGTGCTTGTTTGCGTCTCAATGCGACAGAACACCCTACGGTCGATTTGCTTCAGTGCATTGATTAACATTGCAAAAAACGAGACAAAAATTCTTTGTTAGATGCGGAGTTTTCTTGTGTATCTGTTCAGCGTTATTCTAGCTGACCCCCATTATGTAAAAATCCGTTCTATGAACTTTTTAAGATTTTGCACGCAAAAGAACTATTATTCAGTTCGTAACTACAACCTAGCTCTTTTTCATTCACTGGACATCCAGAGACAAGAAATAAATTTTAATAAGGAAGGGAAATAAAATGAATCTTGTCACGGAAGACAATCAAAAGAAAGAAATTCTGGGCAACAATAAGCAAATTTTTGCTCGAAGTTTCTCATAACAGTAAGTACCGTCAATGTCATCATGTTGTATTAGGCGTCACAAAAATTCCTGACTGGAATTCTTATGCATACATGAGTGTAAACATTGATCAAAATAGCCTCAGGAGAATTTTATTTTAGTAATTCAAGCCCTTCCTTGGCTGGCTATTTGCATACCCTCGAGCTTATATGCGCGAAGGAGGTTATTTAAGTGCACATGCGTATACTATTCATTCCATAGCGTAGAAACAATTTTGATGTGTAGTCCGTTGCGCGATTCCCTTCCTAGACTTCATGTGGCCCCAGGAATATTCTTTCTCCGTTTTCTATATGATAGGCTCGATTTCCGCTTCCACTGTTTTCTCGAGTCCAGTCTTCGATCTTCACGAGGTGTGACTTTCGGGGGAGAGATGAAAACGGCGACTGAATAAAGCCGCTCCAAAACTGATTTTAAGACCAAATTTCCCGGCCCCCATACTAGAATAAGAGAGCCTTTCTAAATTGATCTAGTCGCCGCACTTTTCTTAAAATAAATCGGCTCATGGAACGTTCGGTTCTGACCCGTGCTTTGGGTTCTATTCAATGAATCTTAATGAGAAAATTTCTTTTTTTCCGCCATGAAAAATTCAGCCTTGATTTCTCAATTTTCCCTACAATAAATCTCTTTTAATTTTCTCTATTCTCAGCCATCCTTGTTGTTATGTTCTTCTTTGTTTGTTATTATATGACTTAAACTTGTTTTTTCACTTTAGCCGAACTCACGTAAAGGGCGTTTTTCACGTCGGAAAAATGCGTCACATTTGCCCTGTTGACGCAAATTCGGATCAAAATTGAGCAAAATAAACATTCTTGAAAAGATATATCAGTATCAGTTTTGGCACTTTTCGTTAAATAAAGATTGATCAAATAAAACAGGAGTAGAATTATCATTATTATCCTTGTTATCAATTTTGGGAAGTTTTGATAGGTACCATCAATTATGCCTAACTTGTCTTCAAATATAGGTTTTTTTTTAAACTTTGGTCTCAGTTGTAAGGCCTGTCTTGTCATAATACCTCAAAACACACTCAACTGAGTTTAAAATTTAACAGGTTTCATTGCTCAAGTCAAAAAACTATCCAACATAATTGGAGACAAATTAACATATTAATCAGAACCTGTCTGAAGTTGCTTAAAAAGAATATGAGGATTAAAAAAAGATTAAATTTTGCCCTTTTTGATAACTAATTATCTTTCTAATAAGTTTTGTCATGAATCTTTTCGAATCAAGTTAATTTCTGTTGGAGCAAGACTCGTAAAACAATCAAATTTACAATTGAATTCAGTTGAAATAACGAGATTCGACACGTTAAAAATAATAATGACGTAAACTGATCGGAATTAATTAGACAAATTGACAAGACTGATAGATATCAGGTTTGGCTGTTTTGAGTCCATGAAATTTATGAAAAGCCGAATATAATTTCATCCATTTTGATTTTCAAGCTCCTTTCTTTTTTTCCCTGAAATGACATTTCGTTATCAGAAATCAAGGATGTGTCTGACAACTTTCAAACGTGTAAACCCTTCCGATCTACAACCAAATGACGTTTCGTGGGAAAACATCATAAGATTGCAATTAGCTAAGAACAGTCGCTGCTCTATCACATATACAATCAAATATTGATACTTTATTTTACATACAGTCCAAGATTTAATTAAGATC